GGCTCATTGTTTTAGCTACTAACACTGAGATGTTGGTGCATGCATCTCTAATCTGTATGTATCTGATTATTACTAGTCATAGTCAGTTGCGCTTGGATCCTTGGCACCTGTGTATGGATATAAAGTCATTGGGTAGATTGGACTTTTTTTTTTTTTAGTTAATAAAGACACCTAAGTCACTGGATATAAAAACTTAAGCACAAAAAGGAAACTTTAAACCTGTTAAATCATTATCTCTCCATAAAAATGTCAATAGTATGAAACTATTTAAGACTGATGCTTTGCTTATATTTTGTCTTTTTAACAATACAGTATTAAGATCAGGTCTGGAGAGATGGCTCAGCAGTTAAGATCACTGGCTGCTCTTGCAGGGAACCCACATTTGGTTCCTGGCACCCACATGGCTGCTAAAAAAAACTGTAACTCCAGTTCCAGGGGCATCTGACCTCCTCTTCTGACTTCCGTGGGAACTGCACCACAAAGGTGCATTTAGCAGGCAATACACTCATAAAATAAATATAATAAATAAAATAAAAAATACAGTATGAAGATCATAACCAAAGCAATGCAGGAAAATCTTAGTTGTGACAGCCATAATCCAAAACCTTACAAGTACTTATGGGTAGAATTGTTAGTGTATATTGCCTCTCTTTCCTTGGCTTAATTTTGACTTTTAAACTTTTCCTGAATACTGTTCATAAGACACCCTACTTCCATTAGGAAAGAACACTTTGTTTTAAACTCATCTGTACTTTGAATAGCAGTCTCTTATTTTAATTCTAATTAATAAAATAAAGCATTTTTTTTACACAGAAGGAGCTAAGGCTGTGTCTCAGTTATGTAGACATCTTCCTTTTTGATTGGGAACTTGGAGAAGGTGGTCCAGGAAGAGCAATGAGGTTCTGAGGAAGGTATCTTCAGCACTAAGAAGAACTTAACTGCATATGCAGACAAGGAGGTAAAGAAAATGAGTCCTGGTCTGGAGAAATGGCTCAGTGAGTAGAGTGCTTGCTGCACAAACATAACAACCTGAATTCAGATCCCCAGCACCAATATAAAAAAGAGTTGTGCCTGGTTATGTGCCTCTGTAACCTCAGCTTTAGGGGATAGAGGCAGGTGGATCCCTGGGGCTTGCTCGTCAGCCAGCTTCACCTAAATGAGGATCTCCACATTCAGTGAAGAGACCCCATCTCAAAAAGTAAGGTGGAGGGGCAACTGAGGGAGACATCCCTATATTAATCAAACTCTGGCCTCTACACACGTGTACAGGCAATGTACTCCCACAATACACCCCCTCCCGAAAAGGGGTGTCTTACAAAGGTCAAGCCTGTTCCATTCAACTGCTTTACATTGCTTCACAGAGAGGCAGAAAATCATCACCACAGCACAGGAATTCACGGTTCTGAGTGAGCTCCCTGCTTCTCAGCCAGCGGGGACTCTGTGAGAGCTGTGGAGGCTGCTCTTTGAGTGTCTGACATTTAAGTCACATGCTGTTATTGTTTTCATGTAGAGGTTCAAAGAATGAATAAGAACTATGCAGAAAGAGTGACGAGAGAACACAAGAGGGGATGGCAGGGGCTAGGCAAATAGCAGAACTGAAGGAATAACCTCTCAAAAAAACAGGAGTAGGACAAAGACAGGAGAGCCCCAGGAGAGGCTTTAAAGGGGACTGAACTGTATAGATGGAATGAAGGTAGACTCACCACACACACACACACACACACACACACACACACACACACACACACACACAGACACAGACTCACACACAGACACGTTTGCACTTGTTATGAGAAGAAAAAATAATCACCCATAAATGTGCTTTGAAATTCACATCCAACGATTTTTCCATGAGCTCGTCTGGGCAGTCAAGGAACTTTTTGCCTGTTACGATGCCGGCATTGTTGATGAGGATGGAAACATCACCAACTTCTCTTTTAACCTGAATTGAATTAAGAGTCGACCTATTAAACTAGTAATTCCATCCATGTCCTATTTTTCAATATTCATACACTTTTTATCCTTACTTAGGCTGAATTCATGTGACCTTTGCAGAGTCCCCAGTATACTAGGTATCTAATTCCAATGCTCTTTCATTCCCCGTTCTGTAGTGCAGTTTTAATGTTGCAATGCTACTTTTCTTCCCCACTTAGAACTGGTCTTATTGCCTGTGATGAGTAACTCTGTTTTGTGTTCTACATGGTAGCATATAATTTTAGACAAGTGATGGGCATAATAACAGCTTTATTATAATCAAATAGACTAGAGATCCCAACCTGGTACACAGAGAGATAGGGAGGAGAAAGGGGGAACAAACAGAGGAAGAAAGATAATATATATTTTAAACACACAGCAGATTAGAATCTGCCTGTCTTGTTTTTCTCAACAGGCTTGTTTTCTTTTTCTCCACCCCAAACTTTGAGGCACAAAGTCTGTGAATCATGTTTGTTGCTGTAATGCCAGCCTGAAGAGGTATTCAATCTCTTTTATTTTAGGGACCAAGAGTTCCAGGTGTAACACCGGACCCTTCCCCTCTAACAAACCTTCAGTATGCAATTTTGGCTCCTTATGAGAAATGGACACTAGTGAGAAATGGATGACAAGGTGTGGTACTGGCTGTATATTCTCTTCTTGTTCTGAATTTCATCCGTGTAACTTAGATCACACAGCAGTGATCCTAATCTACAATTTAGAAAGAACCACCCACAGTGGTTAGTATATGTTCACAGAGAAGGTTTGTGGCAGTAGCTCTTATATCTCCAGGTGTGTGTGTGTGTGTGTGTGTGTGTGTGTGTTTGTGTGGGTGTGTGTGCAAAAGACGGGCCAGGATGGACAATGAAAGTTGCATCATAGAATGGCATGGGGTTGAGGGAGCACACTACTGCAGCCAGGTGGAAGCTGCTGTTGTGGAAGGCCTGGGCCCAGCATCAGAGTGACAGGGGCTGCGCATTTACCCTGGCCAACTAGGCCTATGGCCTTGGGAAATTTAGATGGAAAGAGAGACAAAGGGAACCCACATGTCATGACAGTTTTTATATAAGGCACTGGAAACAATCTATTGATGTGTGTTTTGGAGAGTGGCTACAATATTCCACCAAATTGAACTTTAATAGCAGTCAAAAGTAGAAACAACTAGATCAGCCCTAGTAGAGGGAAAGTAAAAAACTTCAGAAAGAGACTGCACTGGAAGATAGCATTAGGGACTGAGATGTCCTTGCTCAGGTCAGGGATGGAAACAGCAGAGACTGCACCAAAGAGCAGTAACTGGGTTCATGTTCTGTAGTTGAACTACCTCTGCGGCACGTTACACACTAACATGCTCAACCTCACAATGGTAATAAACCAGTCTGTACTATATTTTATAGGGGCACAGAGGTCCCTTATTTAAGAGAAAATGCAGGAAATTCTAGTTTTGAAGTAATTTTTCATCTTTTGGGCATTCTTTATTCTCAGTGCAAGAATGAGGTGACCATCTATGTGCCCTGTATGATAACTTTCACAAGATTCACACAGGAGCAGTGCCCACCCTGGACTTTCCCTGTGAACACCCACACGCTGTGGAAACAAGAACCTGCTGGAGGGCCCCAGGCTGTCATGTACGCTGCTATGTGCTCCAAACTGCCAGGATGGCTGATGTGAATTCCCCAACCACACAGGTTTCCCACCCACTGCTTATTAGTGGTAGCAGACAGCAGGAAAGGCTGCTTCTCCTAGAGATCACATAGTCCATGGAACTGGACATCAGGAATCAGAAATCAACTTAAAGGAATTTTCAGATGTTACAAAAGGAATTCAAAAGTTTAGTTTTTTTTTTTTTTTTTAAAGAAGGGCCTGTTGCATATAACAATGCAGTCAGAGATGGTGTAAAGCAAATTGTGAGTTGACTTGTCATAGTCATTAAATACAGAGTTCAGACTCCTCAACATGCCACAGTGCCACAGTAAGGATAAGGGAAAAGTACCCAGCCCTAGACTGGCCATGCAAGAACCATTCACCCAGAGGTGCCATGTAACGTTGGGTTTCCTAAGGTCATGGCTAAGCTATGATTCTAGAATGTAAGTTCTCAAAGTTACTCAAGACTCAGGTGAGATAAAACTTTAACATACTGCTCTAAAATTTTTCTCCTTGGTCATTCTCCTAAGGGATATGTCTTTAAAATTCTTATAATGTCCTATTATCCAGAATAAGAGAGGAAATGGGGACTTTGGAAGTGAAGGTTGTTAGAACCTGCTTCCTTTGAATGCAGAAGAGCACATTGCTCATCTTCGCCTCAAAGATAAAGGTGAATAGTAAGCTAGGAATAGGGTATGGTGGACCATTCCAGAAGTCAAGCAGCTGGGGCAGACATAAGTTCCAGATCCAAAAAAGAGGGAGGTAATTATCAATAGAACACTCATTAGTTTACCTCATTAGATGAAGATGTTTGTGTAAAGACTTGTGACCACTGAAGCCTGCCTAGAGATGTTATTTATAGTTACTCTAAGTCAGAATTATCAATAGAACACTCATTAGTTTACCTCATTAGATGAAGATGTTTGTATAAAGACTTGTGACCACTGAAGCCTGCCTAGAGATGTTATTTATAGTCACTCTAAGTCACGTGACAGGTGCTTCATACACAAACAGGTAAAGCTGGACAGTGGGATGCACCTGGAATGTGGTCTTAGTGTAAGCCTAGATCAGGTTTTGACTCCAGACTACTGGGAAGCCTAGGACTGGAGCCAGTGGTAAGTAGGATGAAGTGTAGAAAGCTGCTTGGAGCAGGCTCGTCTGGTTCCTCCCTTTTTATTAAACTGGGTTAATACTGGGGCCATAGGTCAGCCCAGGAGAGAGGTGTGTGTATATAGTCCAGTGTGAAAATGAGGACACCAAAGTCTTTATGAGGGAAAAGGACATCTTTTGGTGAGCAAAAAGCCTCATTTCTGTCAGCATATTGGAACTTCAGTTTCCTGAAACTTTATATGTGCATCTGTATGACTGTCAAAGAAACAAATATGTTCGAGAGTATTTAGAGGCTTTGAGTGTAGCTCAATGACAGAGCACATGAGTAAGTACAAGGCCCTGAATTCAAGCCCCACTAACACCAGTAACAAACAGATGTCTTTAGGATAAGTATTCTTATTGTCTTATCACCACCCATGGAAAATACACATTCAAATGGAAATCATGGTGGTGGGTAGACAGAGCTTAGATTTAACTCAGACTAAACATGGGTACATATAACTCAGTGATACACTAGTTCTTTGGTCCTGTGCAAAGTGTTCAGTATTTGTTTCTCATCTCTCCAAGGATGCTTCCACTCCCCACTTCTTCCTCTACTGCAGTAGTGCAGTAAGCAGGGGTAGGCATGATCAGGGGCACCAGCACCACTCAGGACTCAACAAACTCAGGTCCTGGTAAGCTACAGGCCAGCACAATGCCTCATTGCTCTTATTTGTGAAGGGAGATAACAGCTTACTTTATAGTGCTATGATATACTACATCCAGGGTACTTGACCTAGCATTTTGCATACAACAGGAACTCAAAATTCTCAATTCCCATTCCTCCACATTGTATTTTAAAGTAGAGGGATATTGAAGAGAAGAGAAAGGGCACTGGGAAGGAAAGGCCAATGAACAAAACTGATGCATGACAAAGTAACTGTATAGGATTCTCACTACCTATAAAAAGTCCCCAAGACGTACCTGGTCAGCCACTCTGTACACTTCTTCTTTTCGGCTGCAGTCACAGGGATATGCATGCACCCTGGTGGCTCCAGCCTCCTGAGCCATCCGGAGCGTCTCCTCATTTGTCTCCTTATTGACATCCCAGAGCACAAGCACTGATCCCAGGCGGGCAAACTGCAAGGCTAAGAGCCTTCCCAGTCCACTCCCTGCACCTGTTATGAGAACTATTTCACCAGCAACATTCTTCCTTGGCTTTGGGATCACTTGAAAAAGAAGGGCTTCCAAAATACTAAACAATGATTTTCCTAAGAAAATAAGCAATTCCTTTGTGGATTCCAGACTGAAAGACATGTTCTGGCCAACACCTATAAAGCAAGAGAGAGTTTGCTGCATTCCACTTTCTGAGGTAAAGAATTGAGAATGTGATGTAAACTTATCCCTTTGGGTAGCTGACACTGAACTCAGGAGGTGGTAGGAACCATAGGGATGGATTATCTTGTTCAACTTTCACATGTGCCCTCAAGCTCCAGCAGATCTACATGCCACTCTGTGTCACGCATAATGACAATATTTGTTAAGTGGGAACTGCAACCACCTTATCCAAATTTAAGCCAAGGAAAGGGCTTGTACTTCTTCCTAGGTAACTTCTCCATACTAACCAGGAAAATCAGTATTTTTCTGCTGGCTGATCTGATGTTCAAAGATTTGGCCATATCACATTTAGGACATAACTGCTACCATTCTGGTAGTGATTTTTTTTTTTTTTGTTTGTTTCCTTTTAAAGTTCTGCTTTCTCACTTGCACTATGAGTCTTTCATTTTCTGATGTTATTTAAGATTTGAGGACTAGGGATGTAGTTCAGTGTGAGAGTGCTTGCCTAGCAGGTATGAAGCTCTGGGTTCTAGCTGATCCCTACCACAACAGTAAAAAAGATTGGAGATAAAAGTTGTAAAAATCCTACTTTTAATAAAGTGTTGGGGGAGAATTACTTGAATGTTATAACATTTTCCACCTGATTTGCCACCAGTACCCCAAGTCCCTTCTCCAGGCTCTGAGGGCCCAATTCAGCCAGCTCCCCTTACAAGATATGGTAAGACAGACTCGGACACTCTACCTTCCTCTATGAAGCCTGGGGGAGGCTCCTCAGTCTTTCTGGACCTCAACCAGTTCTGAGGCTCAGGGCTGTTTTGATATTTGTGACAAGTATACTCCATGCCCGATCTCAATCCTGACTCATAGAGACTATTTCACAGATGCGTTACTAGTTTTCTCTGATTCATAGTGCTGCTCATCAAAAGGGCAACTGCCAGTAAAGGGGTGAGGGACTTCCCCGAGTGGGGTGTTCCACTGAGAAGCTTGGATGTAGGTACAGATGTACATTCCCATTTATTGCAAAGAGTCTTTCTTAGGAAGACACAAGTGTATTTAATTTAATCAGGTTGAGGACTTGGTGTCTTCGTCCCACAGCCTATTCTCAGTCCCAAAGCCGAGCTACCGCAGCTTATTCTAAGCAGAAGCCACCTGCTTCCAAGCCCTGGGTGCATGTGGCAGCAATTCCGCCCTGGTAGGGGCACCTGCTGCAGGTGGACTTGGAGGTGGCAGATAGATGACAGCTTCTGGGGAAACCCGGGAACCGGCGAACTAGGGGCGAAAGGGGAGGGGGCTGTGCGCGCTCCGGCCTGAGCAGAGCCGCAGGAAGGGGCCGCAGGGAGGCATCCGGCTCCGGGGGGGGGGGGAGGGGGGGGGCCCTGGGGATGCGAGGACGTGCCGGGGAGGCGCGCCGCAATCTTGAGCGAGCCCGCGTCCAACCCCGGCGTCTGGGCCTGGGCGCCGGCGCCACCTCCTCCCGGAGCTGGGGTCGCCGACTTCCGCCACTCACCCGGACGCAGTTGCCTCAGTGGCCGCAGAGAATCCGGCGTCGCGCGCCTCAGCTACCCAGGTCCTGAGTTTGCCGCTCAGCGGGGTTCCGTGTTTATCCCCACGGGGGCTGGAGCCCAGGTCCTAGGGCGGGACTGCTGTCCGTTGGGGGTGGGGCCGCATCCGCGCGCCACCTGGGCCCGCGCGCCTCGGAAGGTGGGACTTCCATCCTGGAGCCTGGGAGCGCATCCCAGTGTTGCCACTTTCTTTCAAATTTCCGATGCTCCACTGGGACCCAGGGTTGTGAAATCTGAATGTTTGGGTTGAAACCCATTGAGTGTCACAGATCAACCAGCCAGCCAGCCAGCCAGCCAGCCAGCCAACCAACCAACCAACCAACCTCCCTAACACTAGGCCCATTTGTAAAGCACATTCAGGACCTGCCCTGCACTCGCAGCTGAGGGCCTAGGTGCGGAGTTCTGGCTCAGCCCTGATTCCGGATTTGGGATGCAAAGTCTCAAGTGTCTGCAAGGCTTGTGGGCGTGAGTCTGGGAGAGGCCAGGAGGTGAGTGGGTGGTGGCTGGGGTGCCTGTTGCATTGGTAAGTGGCCAAGGACGAGAGATGTTTCTTCTAAGATGAAGTTGAGAAATGAAAGTGGAGTAGGAGTCAGCACGCTAAGGCCTCTTTCTTGAGCATTGCCTATGTCGAGATCCCCTTAACAACAGGCTGCGATGTGATGGTCAAAGAAAAAGAGGTAGGTTAATAAAATTAGTGATGTTATGTGAGTAGAATGTTTATTTATCGAGAGTGGGGTTTGATGGATGGCACAAGGGATCAGGGAAAACCGGGTGAGGAACAGCTTGGGGGAAGGAACTAGGCAAGTGGAGAAGACTCAGAGGAAGGGAGCCTTAGCCAACCTTTAGCTGGGACAAGCCGAGGGGTGGGAGGGGCTGCAGAATAGTTGTTCTTTATTTGGGTGAGAAGAACCAGTTTAGAAAAGTAGGGGCACTGAAAGCCTTGCGGGCACTGAAAGCCTTGCCGGTGTTTTCAGTGTTGAGTTAGTCTTGCAAACCCTGGAAAGGTTTGGGTAGTTGCTTGGTGGGGACAGGTGTGTGGGTGTTGATTGGTCTCAGGTTAGTTGTCATCACCCAAGGGCACATTTCTGGGAGACACAGTTAATGAACTATAGTGAGGATGGTAGATCTCAGATGCCCTAAGGGGGCATAAAAGAGAGCAACTAGCCAGCCTGGAGGGAGGAGGTTGCTAAAATGCAAGGGCCTGGAGGGCTTAGGAAGGCAGAATATCCCTGGTTGCATGGGTGAGCAGCACCTGGGCATGACAGCGGATTGAGGCTTGGAGAGAGAAGCTGGCTGATGGAGTATCTTTGACCTCAGCTGTGTGGGCACTAAAAAACACCAGCTGTCCTCACCTTTGTGGCCTCTCTGAGCAGAATTCTGAGCTGGCAATCTTTCTGGTTAGGCATTGGAGGTGACCCTAATGAAAGAAATACAGCATGGCGGGGGGGGGGGGGGGGGGGGGGGGGGGCCCTGGGGATGCGAGGACGTGCCGGGGAGGCGCGCCGCAATCTTGAGCGAGCCCGCGTCCAACCCCGGCGTCTGGGCCTGGGCGCCGGCGCCACCTCCTCCCGGAGCTGGGGTCGCCGACTTCCGCCACTCACCCCGGACGCAGTTGCCTCAGTGGCCGCAGAGAATCCGGCGTCGCGCGCCTCAGCTACCCAGGTCCTGAGTTTGCCGCTCAGCGGGGTTCCGTGTTTATCCCCACGGGGGCTGGAGCCCAGGTCCTAGGGCGGGACTGCTGTCCGTTGGGGGTGGGGCCGCATCCGCGCGCCACCTGGGCCCGCGCGCCTCGGAAGGTGGGACTTCCATCCTGGAGCCTGCGAGCGCATCCCAGTGTTGCCACTTTCTTTCAAATTTCCGATGCTCCACTGGGACCCAGGGTTGTGAAATCTGAATGTTTGGGTTGAAGCCCATTGAGTGTCACAGACCAGCCAGCCAGCCAGCCAGCCAGCCAGCCAACCAACCAACCAACCAACCTCCCTAACACTAGGCCCATTTGTAAAGCACATTCAGGACCTGCCCTGCACTCGCAGCTGAGGGCCTAGGTGCGGAGTTCTGGCTCAGCCCTGATTCCGGATTTGGGATGCAAAGTCTCAAGTGTCTGCAAGGCTTGTGGGCGTGAGTCTGGGAGAGGCCAGGAGGTGAGTGGGTGGTGGCTGGGGTGCCTGTTGCATTGGTAAGTGGCCAAGGACGAGAGATGTTTCTTCTAAGATGAAGTTGAGAAATGAAAGTGGAGTAGGAGTCAGCACGCTAAGGCCTCTTTCTTGAGCATTGCCTATGTCGAGATCCCCTTAACAACAGGCTGCGATGTGATGGTCAAAGAAAAAGAGGTAGGTTAATAAAATTAGTGATGTGATGTGAGTAGAATGTTTATGATCGAGAGTGGGGTTTGATGGATGGCGCAAGGGATCAGGGAAAACCGGGTGAGGACCAGCATGGGGGAAGGAACTAGGCAAGTGGAGAAGACTCAGAGGACGGGGGCCTTAGCCAACCTTTAGCTGGGACAAGCCGAGGGGTGGGAGGGGCTGCAGAATAGTTGTTCTTTATTTGGGTGAGAAGAACCAGTTTAGAAAAGTAGGGGCACTGAAAGCCTTGCGGGCACTGAAAGCCTTGCCGGTGTTTTCAGTGTTGAGTTAGTCTTGCAAACCCTGGAAAGGTTTGGGTAGTTGCTTGGTGGGGACAGGTGTGTGGGTGTTGATTGGTCTCAGGTTAGTTGTCATCACCCAAGGGCACATTTCTGGGAGACACAGTTAATGAACTATAGTGAGGATGGTAGATCTCAGATGCCCTAAGGGGGCATAAAAGAGAGCAACTAGCCAGCCTGGAGGGAGGAGGTTGCTAAAATGCAAGGGCCTGGAGGGCTTAGGAAGGCAGAATATCCCTGGTTGCATGGGTGAGCAGCACCTGGGCATGACAGCGGATTGAGGCTTGGAGAGAGAAGCTGGCTGATGGAGTATCTTTGACCTCAGCTGTGTGGGCACTAAAAAACACCAGCTGTCCTCACCTTTGTGGCCTCTCTGAGCAGAATTCTGAGCTGGCAATCTTTCTGGTTAGGCATTGGAGGTGACCCTAATGAAAGATTTTTGTCTTTTTGAAGCAGGGTCTCCCTGTAGCCCCAGCTATCCTGGAACTCACTATGTAGACCAGGCTGGCCTTGAACTCACAGAGATCTGCCTGCCTCTGCCTCCCAAGTGCTGGGACTACAGGCGTGCACCACCCAGCTTTTTAAAAGAATTATTTTAGTTTATGCATATGAGTGTTGGCTGCATGTATATAGGTGCACCATATGTGGGCAATCCCCTGGAGACCAGAAGAGGGTATCAGATCCCCTGGTACTGGAGTTACAGATGGTGGTTACCCGCTGTGTGGGTGCTGGGAACCAACCCAGGTCTACTGCAAGAGTAGCCAGTAGTCTTAACTACTGAGCCATCTCTCCAGCCCTGCATCCAGCTTTTTATGTTGATGCCAGGGATCTGAACTGAAGTCCTCATGTTTGTACAATAAGCTCTCTTACCTACTGAGCCATCGCCCCAGTCTCCACAATTCTTTCTAATTATGAAAATGGTGAAATCCCAGCAAATATAGAGAGGTGAAACATGACAGTTAAAATGTAGAGGATGTTGGGGCTAGAGAGATGGCTCAGCAGTTAACACTGGTGGTTCTTGCAGAAGACCTGGGTTGGAATCAAAGCACCTGCATGGCAGTTAACAACTGTCCGTAACTCCAGTCCCAAGGGATCTGACAGCCTCTTCTGACCTCTGGGTGCACTTACCTACATGCAGGCAATACACCCATACACATAAAATAAAAATAATAAAATAAAGAAAATACAAAATCTGCATGGCAAAGAGTAGGTGGCTGGGGTGCCTGTTGCATTGGTAAGTGGCCAAGGACGAGAGATGTTTCTTCTAAGATGAAGTTGAGAAATGAAAGTGGAGTAGGAGTCAGCACGCTAAGGCCTCTTTCTTGAGCATTGCCTATGTCGAGATCCCCTTAACAACAGGCTGCGATATGATGGTCAAAGAAAAAGAGGTAGGTTAATAAAATTAGTGATGTGATGTGAGTAGAATGTTTATGATCGAGAGTGGGGTTTGATGGATGGCGCAAGGGATCAGGGAAAACCGGGTGAGGACCAGCATGGGGGAAGGAACTAGGCAAGTGGAGAAGACTCAGAGGACGGGGGCCTTAGCCAACCTTTAGCTGGGACAAGCCGAGGGGTGGGAGGGGCTGCAGAATAGTTGTTCTTTATTTGGGTGAGAAGAACCAGTTTAGAAAAGTAGGGGCACTGAAAACCTTGCCGGCACTGAAAGCCTTGCCGGTGTTTTCAGTGTTGAGTTAGTCTTGTAAACCCTGGAAAGGTTTGGGTAGTTGCTTGGTGGGGACAGGTGTGTGGGTGTTGATTGGTCTCAGGTTAGTTGTCATCACCCAAGGGCACATTTCTGGGAGACACAGTTAATGAACTATAGTGAGGATGGTAGATCTCAGATGCCCTAAGGGGGCATAAAAGAGAGCAACTAGCCAGCCTGGAGGGAGGAGGTTGCTAAAATGCAAGGGCCTGGAGGGCTTAGGAAGGCAGAATATCCCTGGTTGCATGGGTGAGCAGCACCTGGGCATGACAGCGGATTGAGGCTTGGAGAGAGAAGCTGGCTGATGGAGTATCTTTGACCTCAGCTGTGTGGGCACTAAAAAACACCAGCTGTCCTCACCTTTGTGGCCTCTCTGAGCAGAATTCTGAGCTGGCAATCTTTCTGGTTAGGCATTGGAGGTGACCCTAATGAAAGAAATACAGCATGATCAAAACAAAGTGTGTGTGTGTGCGTGTGTGTGTTCCTGTGTGTGATGTGGTGTGCACTGTGGGTACACCC